TGCTGAATTTGCGTTTCTTTTTCATGTGATTTAAAAAAAAAATAATTGCTCACCTTCTTATGTGGCTTTCACTTTGAAAAAACCTTTCAACATGCCAAAAGTAAAGTATGTGCAAACAATTTGGAAAGAGTGGTTGCATGATGGCAAAATTAAAAACTGGGGATATGACCAAAGCTTGTTGTAAAAACTGCAAGTGTGAAATTAAAGCGAAAATACAAAATTCAATGAGTCATGCAGAGACTAAAAAAAGCATAAAACTGCAGTTTCATTTAAAGATATTACACCGCTGACATCTGTTTTCAGAACTATACTGATAAATGAATCATCAAAAGTTGAAGTATCAGTCGCAATGTTTTTAATTTGTCACTGAGCAATTTCAAACTGTGACCATTTGATCGATTTGTAAAAAATCTTGGACTAGTTCAATTTGAAAAGTGTGATGTAGAAAGTATAGTTTAGGAACTAAAGGACCTTTTAATCAGCAAACAGTTGGGCTCGAAGAATTTGGCTGTAATTGGTACTGATAATGCCTCAGTGATGGTTGGTATAAACAATGGCGTTTATGCCAAGTTGAAGGAAGCTAACCCATCGTTAATACTTTTAAAATGTATGCGTCATTCATTGCAGCTAGCATTATCACATGCTTCATCTAAATATTTACAAAGGAATTTGGAATACCTTATTGCTGAAACACTTTACTGGTTTTCCAAATCATTTGCCAGACAACAGCAATACAATACATTATATACAGCCTTGAATGATGGTTCCACACCAAATTCTGTCAGATTGCAAAACTAGCTGTTGAAAGAATTATGAAGCAATGGCTGAAGTTGAAGACACACTTTGAAATAACAAGACAAAGTGAAAAGTGCTACACAGCTGAAATACTAAATGGAATGTACAGTGATGAAAAAAATTTGTCATTCATTCTCTTTTTATATCCTATTCTAATGGAAGTGCAAAAAGTTAATAAACTGTTCGAATCTAAACTTGCTGATAAAGTTAAATTACTTGATGATCTCACCTTGCTATTTCACTCGGTAAAAGACTGGTGTTGCCAATTTCTAAAGCTGATTTGCTCACTTGCACTATAGAGAGCTATTTGGCTCATAAGCCACACCTTGGATATTAAATCGAATCAAAAATGGATGATTTAAAAACAAAAGAACTGTTAACAGAGAATGAAGAGAACAACTTAAGAAAACCCTGCCAAGATTTCCTTATCTCATTATTGAAGCAATTGAAACAGAGACTTCCTGAAAATCTAGATGTTTTGAAAAATATTTCACTTTTTTATGTGAGCAACATACTTCAGCCAATAAAGGACATACCTAAATATTGTAAAGTTATGAAATTTTTAGGGGCTACTGATAATAGTGTCGTGGAAGCAGAATATCAGTTAACCAAAATAAAGTTAGCTGAATAGACAAACAAAACAGAAACTAAAGCGTTTTGGAGTGAGGTGAGACAATTTAAAAATGCCTCATCAAACAGTCCATTCTGTGAGCTCTTTAAAGTGCCATGTCTGCCATGATACTACCCAACTCAAATGCTGACGTAGAAAGATTTTTCAGTGCTAGGAATTATATCAAATCTAACCTAAAAACAGGATGAAATTTGACCTCATAAATGCTATCGTGCCATTAAAATTCGGCCTGATGAGACTAGAGAAATAAGCCTACTGTTCCACTTATAAAGAAATTTGAACAACTAAAGCATACCAGGGTTATTTTGGATCTGAAGCTTCAACTTCATTATCCAAGCTAAGTTTATCCTGTGGATCTTGTGAGGCAGACATCAGTGAAGGTAAGGACATGATTATGTAGGGTAAGTCATAACAAAAGCTATGTTGTTTTTGACTTTTTCAATTTGGATGTTTTTTCTAGATCTTTTCCACGCAGATTTAGATCTTTTTAGATATTTTTTGACACCGTTTTGGATATGTTTTGTCAAAGAAAAGTGGCAACACTGCCGCTACAGCATCATACATGTTGTAGACGTCTAGACAGATCGGCAGTTCTAGTTGTGTCAGCGACTTGCTCACGTATGTATATGTATATGTGTGAATATATATGTGTTTGTCAGTGTCTGTAGCTGTTTCTCTTTTGATCTGGTTCTATGTTTCGTCTGTTGTCTGTCTCTCTGTATGTAAGTGTCTGTGTGTCGGCCCCTGCATCTCTCTCTCTCTCTCTTCTTCTTCCCTCTATATATACACGCACATAGGCACACATTAAAAAAATATTTTTTTTTTCATTGTGACTGTGTGTAGGTAGGTGTCTGCGTGCGCAAATGGATGTATGCATGCATATGTTATGTTTCTGTTAACTTGTTTATCTACTTATCGTTGGGTGTGTGTGTACGCACGCGTGTGTCTGTGCGAGTTAATGCCTGTATGCAAATGTGATATGATGTCTTTGTGTGCATATGTGTGTGAGCATGCCTGTCCGCATGTATGCATGTAAGCTTGTGTGGAAGTGAGGTGGGTGGGGGGGGGGGGGGGAGTAGGTCGGTGCGTAGGTATGTATTTATTTTCCTTGTAAATTTCTAATAATCGCTCTAAATCAAGAGACGAAGAACAGGCGATGGGGCTGGATAGGACACAAGTTTAGATTCCCAGAGAACAATGTTGCTAGATAGAGTTTACGGTGAAACCGATTGGGGATAAAGCAAAATCTAAAAAAAAAAAAGTGAAAAGGAACTAGAGACAAAAAGTTAAAAATATGCATTTGAAAAGCATAAGACTACTTTGCGTGAGTTAGCTTAGGATCTACGTACCATTATAGAATAAAGAGAAGAAGAAGAAGAAGAAGAAGAAGAAGAAGGAGAAGAAGAAGAAAAAGAAACAGAAGAAGAAGAAGAAGAAGAAGGAGAAGAAGAAGAAGAAGAAGAAGAAGAAGAAGAAGAAGAAGAAGAAGAAGAAAGAGGAGCAGAGCAAGAAAAGCAAGAAGAAGAAGAAGAAGAAGAAGAAGAAGAAGAAGAAGAAGAAGAAGAAGAAGAAGAAGAAGAAGAAAGAGGAGTATAGCAAGAAAAGCAAGAAGAAGAAGAAGAAGAAGAAGAAGAAGAAGAAGAAGAAGAAAAAGAAGAAGAAGAAGAAGAAGAAGAAGAAGAAGAAGAAGAAGAAGAAGAAGAAGAAGAAGAAGAAGAAGAAGAAGAAGAAAGAAAGAAAAGAAAGTGGAGCAGAGCAAGAAAAGCAAGAAAAAGAAGAAGAAGAAGAGGTAGACGAAGAAGAAGAAGAAGAAGAACCATATACTGTATCAGGTTGAATCGACCTAGCAACCAGTTAAAATAAAAAATTTTAAAAATGACTGACGAAGTATTCAAACACGACCATAATGACGGCAGATAAGCCCGCTAAGCGACTGCACTTTTTTGGCTCTCACAATTGTTATAAAGATTTTTCTTCATGCCATTCAGACATCTTCTTCTTATTTTTTGCGTTCACCGGCTGTAGGCTCCGGTAGAAAACCCTGGTTGATGGTTAACTTCTGCACTTTATTCTTGTTCCCTAATATGAGTTTCGCGTGCACTTCAGTTTTTCACAGAGCTGGCTTATTTACACGCAGACGAATGCTGGCTGAATTGCTTTTAACCGATGACCAGGCAATCATAGCACAAACAGCAGTACATCTACAAGAACATATTGGCACCAATTTTAAAATGCAAGCATGTGAATATGAACACTTAAAAAAATAACACCGTTTAACACACTATTCTTAACAACGCTCTGCTATTAATGCCAAACATGGACACTGTCTTCAGAAGACAGAAGGAAAACAGTCAAGGCAGAAATGAAATGTTTACGTACTAGGTGTAACGAGCAAAGATCGACTTAGGAACGATGATATCATGAGGAGAATCGCCACAGAACCAATACTGAACTTTATAGGTAGACAACAAATCAAAAAGATTGGCCATGTAAAAAGATTGGCAGCAGATAGGAACCACAGATAGTACAGATACAACGGTAATAGACCCAGAGGTCGACCAAGCAGATTATGGACCACATAAATATCAGAGACACTGAAGAGTACTATATACAAAGGGAACAGAAGAGCCCGTTCCAAAGATCTCTTCATGCCATGACGCTGCGAGGCATTCCAGGAGTAGAGAAAAGAAAGAAAGAAGAAGACTGCTGGATGCTTGCCTGTCAGGGATATGCAGCACTGTGACTTCAGGTATCTGTTGCTTCGTCCATGTTTTTGATAGAACCGGAAGTCCAGGATCCTGTGGTCAACGTCACTCGCCTGCCACTTTTACTTCCCGGGACGACCGGAATCAATTTTCAATTGGTCGACCTGGAAAGGGGGAAGGGGGGGGGGGTCCAGTTATTAAAATGCTGCCCAGACTCTAACTCAAGATCCTCGGACAACCGTGTAGCTGAGTTTTCAACGCATGGATCCAATGGCCACTTGCCCAGAGCTCACTTAAGGATATGGACCCTATGCTCCTCAGTGTGTGACGTGACCTGGCACAGTTTTAAAAATGTCATTCCTGTGGGTGGTTGTCGTAGAGGGCCCAGTACACAGGTTTGCTGTTAAGTTGTAAAGTAAGCTTAAAATAAAAGTGAAGAACCCTTTTGCAAAGGCATATTTGGCTAGCCTTACATTTTATAGACAAATCGGCACTGGCTGGGTGATGGGTCAACATCAGGCCGGTCGCCTTTACTTTCCAGGACTGTACCTGGTACCCACTCACGCCTGGGTTGACCTGATAACCAATGTCAAAAAAAAAAAAAAAAATCCGTTCCGCATCCGCAGGCGAGCGTCTAGCCGCTAGATCACATTGGCTATTGGTACGTTGGTATAGCTTCTGCTTATATGATTGCTCCCACTGTTGATGTACTTCGGTTTTACAGCTAAATGTGAACATTAGTTATGAGCGCCGTGTTTTCTTATCGCATCTTCTCGATTAGAAAACAGCAACAACAATGACAATCTGTTCTAATTTATAGATTTTTTTTTCTGACAGGTTCACTTGGATCATCAGGAACTAACCATACTATGGCCAACGCTGAGCTAACTTTGTATTATTTTGATACGAAAGGTCGGGCCGAAGTTGCTCGATTGATTCTGGCAGCAGCAGGAAAAGAATTCACAGATATCCGATTTTCATTAGAGAATTGGCCAGAGTATAAAATACTAGCACCATTTGGCCAGTGTCCATTTATTAAAGTCGATGACAAAATATTTGCCCAGAGTTTGGCAATTAACCTCTTCTTAGCTCGGGAATTTGGCTTCTATGGTGAAACAAATCTGGAAGCACTGGAAATCGACCAAATAACTCAACTAGTTGAGGACTTAGTCAGCTGTTGTTTAGATGCAATTCACATGGACAACGGAGAGGAGAAAAAAAAAGAGATTGAGAAAATAAAAGTAAACAAGAGTCCCAAATTTCTGGAAAACTTTGAGAAGCTTCTGAAAGAAAATGGTACTGGCTTTTTCGTGGGAGATCGTCTCACTTTGGCTGATATTGCAGTGTTTGATGTAATCACCGGAATGCTGAAGGGCTACGTTGATGTCAACGACAATTTCCCGCTTCTGCTGAAGCATGTCGAGCTGGTCAAAGCACACAGCAAGATAGGTCCTTATGTGACATCTAGACCAGACACCGAGTTGTAGACATCTTTGGAGCGACTGATGACATTGCTCACCAGTCTAAAGCAGATACAGCTGGGTGTTCATTCTGCAGTGTAATCCTTGTTACTCGGCTTGTCAGGAAATATGGATGTATGAGGGTTGATGTTTTGCGACTATATTAACAATAAAATATACAGATCTCAAGGGATACAGAGCCTGTTTAAAGTAATAAGATGAATAATAGCAATGCGCAAACAAGACAAAACACTTTTTTTTATGGAGCTACTTGCATATCGCAACAACAGAGGGTACTCAGAGCACCACACACAACATTTCCACAAAAGGATGGAGGAAATGCGGAAAGTCTTCAGAACTGTCTGATGCTCAGAAGCAAACTATGAAGAAAAGAAAAGATCGACTCACTAAGAACTTTAAAAAAAAAGTATTATGAGGATTGGTAAGAACATTACGCAAGAACATTACGCAGAAGAAGTTCTGCAATGAAAAAGGGCGCTAAAAGTCCGTCTTAACATTCTGGCGACTCCATCGCAAAATGAACAGCGGCAAACAATAGTGCAATACACCTGAATTTAAAATGGACAGCAGTGTGATCTTAAAATCGGACTAAGACAAAGGCGAAACACTCCTGTGTAGATGTCTTCTGCAAACCTAAGAGAATGACACATGACGAGATGAATCTGATGCAATAAACACTGCATGACATGCGTAAAGCTGAAATGGATGGAGAAAATGACACAGTGTATTGCTTTGTTGCAAGGATCAGAGCAATACGGAAGACCTGCTCCGACATGGCTGCCGGGCCTGGTGGCGTAAGATACGGCCACTTAAAAAGCCTTGAGGAGAGAGACACAGCTCAACTATCCAGGACATTCAACAAGAATACCAAAAACCGCCCTGTCTCTGACGACTGGCTCTATAGCTACTTCACACCCCTTCCTACGACTGGCTCTATAGCTACTTCACACCCCTTCCTACGACTGGGAAAGATAATGCCAAAAAATAAATGGCTCTGGAATCATTACACTTCATAACACCGTAGGTCTGGGTCTCCTTCCTGTCAGCCTAACTCTATAACTAGAAAGACTGGACTGGGTACAAAATGAGGCCACGAGACTGCACAAAAGGCAACTCGTGCCACCACGCTATGCGACTTGCCTGACTTTACCGACGATGGCCACCAGATATGAGGTGGCACAGGTTTAGGCGTACATGAGAGTATCAGCAGATATCCACCACCCACTGTACAACGATTTCAACGATATAAAAGGGATGCGTATCAAATGAGGCTGCTCCTGGATGCCTGGGCCTGAAAATCGACTCCGGCAAGTAGGTTACCGAGACGAGATCGGTCACGGAAGAGAATGGTCGGATACACCAGTAGACATGCATCACCTGACTAAGGTTATCATAACACCGGGGAGGTACTGCATGAGTCAGATTCCTATAACTGTAGACCCCGAAATACAGGCATTGATAGATCAGAATTTACCACAGAAGACATTATCATTTATTTACACTAATGGGTCCATAAAGCGCAGGTCAAGGTCAGTATGGGCATACATTGTGCATCGGATGAGGAAAACGGTAGAAGAGGATAGTAGCGCGTACCAAACAACACATCAAACAAGATGAGCGTCGCTTCCAGGGAACTTGCGTGTAATCGCTTCAGACTCCATGAGCTTGATTAAGAAAACAGCAACAGTTAGTTGAGGCTCTGAATGGGTAGAAAGTTTTCGGAAAGCGCAGTTAATCTCCACCATGAGATCTACATATCTGGGCATACAAGAGTTAAAGCCAATGAAAGCGCTGACCAGCTGGCAAGTAGTGCCCCAATGCAAACAGGAGAAGCATGGACAGAGCTGATACCATCAACGCTGTACCGACTAGGTTGGAGGATAATGACGAATCGCTGACGCTAATACGACTGCGTGACACGCCAGTAAAGTTTCATGAAGCATGCATATGTCGTCTTTAAGGACAAGATTAGAAACACTGTAACAAATTTCTCATAGTTTAATAAGTAGAGGTACCTTGGAGTGGCTGCTGCATCAGAGGACTGAGCACTCATGGGAATGCTAGTGTACAGAGACATCGATTGTGATCACATAAATACTCACCAGAATGGAATCCCTGTGTGGGTTCTGGTATCCCATTGTTAGGAACACAAGACCAAACACACTGCTTCCCCAATAAGTATGTCGTAAGAGTCGACCAAATGGGTAGTTCCTTAAAGGTCAGAGAGCATCTGCCGGATAGGCAAGGAACCAACAATCTGAATACAAATAAGTCAGATTTAAAAAAAAAACAACGATGTGCACACAACACTCAAGTTCTGGAACAAGACTAAAATCCAGAGATGAACAAAAAAAAGTTTCCGCCGAATAAGAAGACCAGAACTGACGTTCTTGCATTTGACGCGTGGATCATATATGTTACAACTTGACATGAAACATCATTAAGTGGAAACGCTGTCCTTTCGAAAATTTCATAGCATACCATACAAACTCGACATAAATGATACAATTCACTACGTCACTTCTTAACACATCAGCAACTACGATATGTACATAACTTCAAAGAGATGCAAAATACAACCTGATCGTCGTGTAAGATAGACCAGTCTGAAACAAACAATATCAGCATTAGTGTTGTTATCATCATCATCATGTTGTAGGTATCTTCACCTCGTGCTGAAAAACAACCAGTCGTCGGTGAGCTGTCTCTTCTCGTGCACCTCCACGCCCAGGGTGTCCTTCATGGTCACAGTCGAGCTGACCATTCATTGCCTCTTCTTCAATGAAGAGTACCTCTCATAACTGTTCACTGCAAATCATTTTAGAGTTTGATTTTGCTGAAATTTTTTTCATGAGTTAAATAGTGTAGTCGTTACATATTGATTAAGGCCCTTGATTGCCGATTTCCATTAGTCCATTTCAATTCCTGTTGGCGGCATTAATTTATAAATCCCCTCATTTGGTAAAATATGATTTTGTGTACTTGAATATGAAAGTTTTAAACGCTACATGACATTAGTCTCCATGTTGTTACATATATCACAAGAGCAACGGAATTGACCCCACCATCGTCAACTTTAACCAATACCGAGATTTGATAACAGAATCGACTAGTAGTTGTAGTAGTAGTAGTAGTAGTAGTAGTAGTAGTAGTAGTAGTAGTAGTAGTAGTAGTAGAATTTACCACACTAGGACATCACACAAATGACAAACATCCTATGACACAAAGTGCCACCATTCGGATGAGGATTACCCGTAGAGGATAGGTCCCGTAAAACCGTGTTCAGCCATTAGGCTATATTCATGGCCGGGCTATATTGTGGCCCCTGGAAAAATGCCAGGGTGGGGCTTCAAAATAACGAAAAATTGCATCCCACAAGGGGATGACTGGGCTCTACCAGCATCTCATCAATCTAAATAAAGATGGCGTCACTAGCAGCCATATAGAAACCACAACCCACAAATATGAAGCCTAGCTTCTGGCTATTATCCACTTATACTAAACATTTGATCCACAATTCTCATATGAGGAGGATGTCCTCCTATTTTCTAATTCTCTGTTGTGTTAAAATTCACCCTTCGATTCATACCGAGTTAGAGATGGGCGTTGTGTAGCAAGCTAATTGCTTTCCACGGGCCCTTAACTCTTTGAGTACCAGAACAAAATTTCGTATGAGATGTCAGTGAAGGAGTATCCGTGATTAAAATTCGTTAATGACTTTCAAAGTGGTATAAAACAGCTGTAGTGACCACTGCACAAGCCGAATTTCTTGAGTGTGTTTAGACCGAACACGAAAGTAAGACAGCATACTGAGCTAAGCAGGGTATTCGGCAAAAATGATGATTCAAACATCATTCGTTGTTTAGGACTCAAAGAGTTAACAAACGCACACAATACTCAAGACTGTTATGATTCATTAAGTCAGTTTTAAATTGTAATATTCAACTGATAAATGTAATTAGGAACAAGCAAAGGAAAGTCGCAATGTAAACACTTCGATGACATAATCGGTATATGCCAAAATCCATTCAAGACCATTTTTTGTGTGAGTGGTAAACCATAACTACCCTAGCCTACCGGTGTGGTACAAAGCGATGAGTTAATTTTGAACACAACAAACAAACATAGACAGCCACCGTAGTGTAGCGGCTACATGCTCGCCTTAGGATCCTGTGAGGTGGGGGGGGGGGGGGGGGGGGGGTCTTAGCTGTCTTACAAGTTACAGAAAATATTACATCCCCAAAATAATTTTGTGTGGGTGGAGAGACCTCAAGGTATCTAAGCCACCAGGTTTCGGTGCCCCTGCGGTCGACTAAAGTGAATAGGAGTATTTTAATGAGGGATATAAATGCGGTCGGATTTTAGTTTTCTCACGCTAAATGTCTTATGCACTTAAACCGGTGCTTTCCCAGTATCTCCCCCCAGGATAGCGTTACAGAACAGTCCAATATTTTCGAGGGTGGTAAGAGCAGGTTTCCCGGCTTTCTAATGCTTTTAACCACCCCAAAACATCTAGAACCGGGCCTAACCCCAACCCACCGGCGTCCCACGAGAAAGTGCAGCCTAGGTCCCACGACTGCCTGCAGCCTAGGTCCCACAACTACATACAGCCTAGGTCCCACGACTTCATACAGCCTAGGTCCCACAACTACATACAGCCTAGGTCCCACGACTACATACAGCCTAGGTCCCACGACTACATACAGCCTAGGTCCCACAACTACATACAGCCTAGGTCCCACGACTACATGCAACCTAGGTCCCACAACTACATACAGCCTAGGTCCCACGACTACATGCAGCCTAGGTCCCACGACTACATACAGCCTAGGTCCCACGACTACATACAGCCTAGGTCCCACGACTACATACAGCCTAGGTCCCACGACTACATATAGCCTATCAACTAACCCCTAAAATATTTTACTGTCTGTTTGGAATCGAGATATTGGTATAGAACTATTAAATCATGTTTTTTTTTGTTTTTAACTATCTATCTATCTATC